GGAGGATAGAAGGAGAATTGATGCCTTTGAGCTGTGGTGCTGGAGAAGAGTATTGAGAATACCATGGACGGCTAGGAAAACAAACAGAATTTGTCCTGGAAAGGATTAAACCAGGTGGCTCCTTGGAGGCAAGGATTCTGAGGCTCCGTCTAACTTACTTTGGACATGTTGTAAGGAGAGACCGGTCCGTGGAGAGGGACATCATGCTTGGGAGGGTGGAGAGACAGCGCAGGAGAGGAAGATCATCTATGAGGTGGATTGATTCAGTGACCGGGACAATCAGGATGGGTGTGTCAGAGGCAGTGCGACTGGCACAGGACAGAACAGGGTTTAGGGCTGTTATACATAGGGTCACTATGAGTCGCAAGTGACTTGACGGCACATAACAACAACAACAACAAAAATGAGTAATTGTTTCTGTATTTTTCTTAGAGCACTTTTTTTCTTTCACAGATTGATCATATTGGTTTATTTATGATACTTCTAAGAGGAGTAGACGCTCTCAAAACGAAGATCACAGTCATCAATTGTATCAAGGAGGAATAATTTGACTCTGCAGCAAGCAAAGGTATAGGAGATGCATCCCACGCTCTGTGAGAGGAACAGCTTGCATGGTGGGAGTGTTAAGAAGCCGTTCACAGGAAAAACACAGTGGAAACGAAACGAGTTGATGCATTAGAAGATTCCACATAGGAACCTTGGACATCCTGGACCAGGAGTGGACACACATAGGTCCACTTGAGCTCTTCTGGGTGGGGACTCGTAGTGAGTGGAAGCCAAAGCAGAATGAATGGCAGCTTTCGAGAAAGGGAAGGACTGGGCTCGAGTGTCTGAAATTGTGAGGCCGGCACAGGATAGGATGGAGTTGACACTTGTTTGCAAGTCATGCTTGACATGACCGCACCTAATACCAACACCAGCAACAACAGGCTGTAGGTCCGGTGGGCTCAAGTCTGTCTGACATGCTTAGGATTCTTTGATGGCATTCCTACCCTACGTCCAACTTTTCTTTTTGATAGGATGAAATATTACAAAATCTTTTGAGTTTCATGCAGGAATTGGCATACAGACTTCTTAAAAATTGAGTATTAGTCCTAGCGGCCTTCTGAACGAAGGATTTGAAGGAACTCTATTCTATCCTGCGTCATCCTCACATTTCCTGACACACAAGAGCCCCGCTGCAGAAGTCAGAGGAGGAAGAAAGGTGGATATGTGCAAATAAAATGACCACGCTTTAGAGAAAGTCATTCCTTGGCTCTTCCAATAATCCATCTTGGGAAATACTTAGGTCTTCGGCGAGTACTGTTTCACAGCACCCCAGGATAACGGTGAATTTCCGTTAAGACAGGGTCCCTTACAGAGCTTGTGAAATGCAAATTCTACTTCCCTCTGTTACATTACCCCTCAGCAGAAATGCAGGGACTAATGCCAGGTAGTTTCAAGACTATCTTTATTTATGAGCCAGAGGTTTTCTGATGACAAGAGTTCTGAATTCCATCGTGACACCACAAGGTTACAGAGAATATGAAAGGAGTTATTTGCAAGCAACTTGACACACTGCTGTTTTTCTTTCATAGGTATTGTTGTATTGCCTTATATCTGAATAATAGAAGGTCTACTTCACAGAATATTTAATGATCAATTGGAAATAATATGCCATGCGCTCTTTTCGGGCTGGTGTGTTAAATGTCACATAGGGAAGGTGGTGAATGGTTTTATTGAAGTCTTTGGTAAACGTGCAGCCTTTTTCGTATTTGTAAATGTCGCAAGAATATGGCAAGAATGGAATCTGGAAAACCAAGAAGAACTAAAAATGAGATCAGGCAAGCTCTGGTGATCTAGCAGCAAGAAGCGACACTGTAATCTCAGAGCTCAGAGGTGCCTGGTTCAAATCCCTAAGAATCCCTACTAGCGACAGAGGGACAATGCCTTCCTGTACCCGTCAGATCCGATGAGTAAAATAGTTTAAGTTTTTGAAACAATGCTTTCATGTATTTAGGATGTGGCAAAAGAGGCATATTCAAGCGTACTCAGATACTGGAGTCTTACCAAGTTCACAGTTCTATTTGGGGGATAATTCTACCCCAAATATGTCCTCAAACGTGCAAGGCAAAATGGAATGTGAATTCAAGAGGCATTGTATCATTTTCCGGGATGGGAACGACTTGGGATTTGCTAGAGAATTGGTTGGTTTTTTTGTTTTGTTTTGTTTTCATAAAACTGAAGAAGAGTTGTAGAAAGGACCATGTTATACTTGCATCCTGCTAACATGCCCCATGAGGAGGTCAGACACGTAAGAGATCCCGTTTTCTGCTCTCCTCTTCACTGCTGGGAATGCTAATGACCTGGTCTGCAGGAATCTGCAAAGGGTCTACACACCCAAAGGCTGCCATTCAGGACAGTCAAGGACCCAAAACCGCTGTGATGTGATGGTAGGGAAAGAGCTAACTTAACGTTACCCAAAAAAGAAGAGCACAGATCACGGTGAGGTGAGATACAAGGAACCACAGCCTTTGCTGGGCAGGAGGTCTTTGGAATCACTTCCTCACCCTCAGCCTCTTCCTTGGAGATAAAACCATCGCACTCACTGCAGGATAAGGATCTCTGATGTCATGTGGATTGGCGTTGCTCACAGAAAGGCTGCCTGTGTCTGTGATGATTCTAATTGACCAAGGGCACAGATCGAGGAAGATGGAAAAGTGTCCTCTATACACCGTCCCAAACTCAAGGGAGGTTCACTGTCTAACAAAACTCAGAGGCACAGAGCTTGAGTTTTCCACAGGGTGTCCACGGTGGTTTCCACAGCTCTGTTTTCTCTCCTCCGTATTTCTATGGGTAATGATATTATGATTCACCAAAGAGGGCCTTGACTCCTCTTCAGAGAGGAAAACACAGTTCCCATAAAACTGGTTGAATATCAGACTTAAAAGAAGACCTTGTTCACAATCTGGGTACAGTGATAAGAAATTTAATAGAAGGTCAGAGAGGGGAATGTTGTTTTTCTACAGATCCAAATGATTCCACATAGAAGATCTGATTGGAACATCAAAGGGTTTTGGGTCAACAGTAAGTCACATCGTCCAAAGCAATAGTTTTTAACTGGAGGCTGAAAGTCGTGCATCAAAGGAAAACACAAGGAATAGTTTTCATTAGTCTCCAAGTATCATGTACGAGTTGTTATTGATTAGAGTTGAGTCGGAACAGACCCACAGGTGAATTTAGAGTTAGGAGCGGAGACCGCCCATCCTTCTCCCAGACAGCAGGTGGTGGCCGCAAACTGCAAACGTCTGGCATTGCAGTACAGCTTGTTGACACTCCACCACCACACCTCCCTGATCACCTCAAAATAACAGGGCTCATTAACAACAAAGAAGAGAAGGTAATGTCTTCAGTAGCAAAACCAAAGAACTTTAAAAAAAATAAAAGCACGAGTCTATTTCCTGAAGGAAAACATTCATCGATGAAAACCTTGCAAGGCACGCTGGCTCAGCTTGGAGCAAGAGTGAACGTCATTTAACAGGACAAAGATTTCAGGTTGGTGAGAGTCACGCACAGAGACAGATCTCAAGCCGTGACAAAAGGGTCATTCATACAGAGGCACAGAGTAGGTTTAAATCATCTTTTTTTGTCCAGTTTGTATTCCTGCTTCTATAGATGTACAGAAATGGATTATTTCACAGAAGAGTGAAAGGAATGAAGGATTTCATTTTGGTGGGTTTTGTTTTGTTTTGTTTTTTTATTTTCAATAAGGCCACAGTCTGGTGTGATACAGGGACCGGCTGTGTGCGTGCTGATGGATCTTAAGGGACCGGTTACTCCAGAAACGTTTCGGGCAAACCTGACACTCCTAGGGCTTCTCTCTGGTGTGGGTCCTCAGGTGGACTTTGAGATGGGAGGCGAGAGAAAAGTATTTCCCACACCGCTCACACTCGAAAGGTTTCTCACCAGTGTGAAATCGCTGATGCACACGGAGGTGTGAGGCAAGGCCAAACGCCTTTCCACATCGGTCACATGCATGAGGCTTCTCTCCGCTGTGGATTTTCCTGTGTTTGCTGAGAAAGGAGGAACATTTAAAGGTTTTCCCACACTCCTCGCACGCATAAGGCCTCTCTGAACCATGCAACCGCTCGTGATTGCGGAGAACAGAGAGATCTCGAAAGCTCTTGTCACACTGCTGACAGGCATATGGTCTCTCCCCCGTGTGAAAACGTCTGTGGGACTTGAAGTGCGAGGAACTTCGGAAGGTCTTTCCACACTCCTTACACTCGTAGGGTCTCGCCGCACTGTGCGTTTTCATATGGGCGTTGAGGGCCGTGGACAGCCGGAAGCCTTTCCCACACATCTGACACTTGTAAGGCTTCTCGGTGCTGTGTATTTTTGTGTGCTTATTCAGATCCGAGGAACTAATGAAGCCTTTCCCACACTCCTCACATTTGTAGGGCCTCTCCCCAGTGTGAATTCTCAGGTGTTCCTGGATGGAGTAAGAATGGTTAAAGGTTTTTCCGCAGTGCTCACACCTGTAAGGCCTCTCTCCAGTGTGAATGCGCGTGTGCGCAGTCAGGTGCAACAGACGGCGGAAGGCCTTGCCACACTCCTGACAGGCGTACGGCCGCTCTGAACTGTGGGTCTGGCCGTGGACGAGGAGCGTGGACTTGTTTTTGAAGGTTTTCCCACACTGCTTGCAGGCGAAAGGCCTCTCGTCACTGTGAACGGCGGCATGCTTACTGAGGTTACCAGAATCCCGGAAGGTCTTGCCACACACTTGACAGGTGTGAGGTCGCACTCCGCTGTGACCTCTTCTGTGCGAGGAAAGCTGTGAGGAGGAACTAAAGGTTTTCCCACACTCCTGACACGCGTAAGGCTTCTCTCCACTGTGCATGCGTCGGTGCACCGTCAACGTGGACTGCTGAGTGAACGCCTTGCCACAGTCCTCACAAACAAAGGGCTTCTCTCCCGTGTGGATCTTCATGTGTTCCAGGAGGATAGCCTTACAGTGAAAGATTTTGGCACAGACCTTACACTTGAAGGACCTGTCCCCGCTGTGCAGGCCTTCGTGCACCATGAGGGCCGAGAGGAGCTTAAACATTTCCCCACAGTCTTCACACTTATAAGGCCTCTCCTCACTGGGGCTTTGTCTGTGTGTCCCAGGAGTGTGTGAATTTGCACTGGCTTTTCCAAGATCCTCACTTTCATAATGCTTCTTTCTCTTCCTGGATGGTTTAGGTCCAGTTGGAGGTGGGGCGGGGTCACAGGTTTCAGAATCTTGTTGGCCTTCAAGCACCTCTTCAGTGACTGTGCTCACTGGACTCTCTGGGGCTGACACACCAGCCAAGCCCTTCGTACCATTCTTGGGTCTGGGGCGTTTCTTTGCAGTGGGGGTCTGGATGGTACTATATATGGGGGAGGGACAGCGGCAGGTTTCTCCACACTGTGGACACTCAGAGGTACGGCCGTGGGTGTGAGAGTTGGGACGTTGGGTCTGTCCCTGAGAGTGGGGAGGTCGGGTCTGCTTGGTCTGTCCCTGAGAGCGGGGAGGTCGGGTCTGCCTGGTCTGTCCCTGAGAGCGGGGAGGTCGGGTCTGCCTGGTCTGTCCCTGAGAGCGGAGATGTTGGGTCTGCCTGGTCTGTCTCTGAGAGGGGGGAAGTCGGGTCTGCCTGGTCTTTCCCTGAGAGTGGAGATGCCGGGTTTGCCTGCTCTGTCCCTGAGAGCGGGAATGTCGTGTCTGTGATGCCGGATCCCTGGAGGCTTTGAAACACACTCTACGTTCCAGAGCCTTTGCATTTGGGAGGCTCTCTGGGATCATGGGGCGATCTGGAATGCTCGTGGAGGTTTCTTCACCCTGATGGCCTCTGTCACTTACCCCAGGAATCTCTTCTGTTTTCCTGTGAAAAATAGGGGCCACGTCATTAGAAAGAAAGGTACCCTTTTACGGTCTGTGCCTCTCTCATCTCACCTTCCACAGGTTCAATTACCCGAGAGATACACAACCAATAAAAATCCTGGATTAATAAAAGGTGAGTTGTTCACAGAAACAAGTACATTGTTTCAACCCTGAATGACATCCACTGCATTCATCAGTTAGAATCGGTGTAACGAAATAATTCCCAGCAAGTGCTGAAGCAAAGCTGAGTAAGATCGGCAACATTCATTCAAATAAAAAGTTATCACACATAATGCTGGGGTGTACCATCGAGTCAAAACTGACCCACAGCTGGCCCGCTGGAGAGTTTTCAGAGAACTGCATGGGAGAAGACTGCCCATCTTTCTCCAGCAGCTAGGGGCCTCGAACCACCTGCCTTTGGGATTGCACTGCAGCTTCCTAAACACCAGGCCCCCAGATCTCCCTGAACGCTTTACACAATCACATTATCACACTGGAGACACAGAAGGAGGGTAAAAAATACTGCTTTCCTTAGGAACTGTTGATTTTCCCAATCTCGCTTGAGAAATAAGGCCTTCCTACCTGAACCAAATTCTGCCTTCATGGTCATCCAAATTCACACATGACCTGGAGTCTGGGGTGAGCCTTTCTCTATCACTCGCCTTGCCCTGCATTTCTGTATCCTGGTCTATTATCACGGTGAATTTTGCATCCCTGCATTTCTCTATCCTGGTCTATTATCATTGTGAATTTAACATCATCTTGAACCTGGTAAGTCACGTTTTTATAGAGCGCTCGTATGGACCAGAGGTTAAGAAGCTGGGCTGCAATCCCAAAGACACGTGGGTCAAGGGCACCCGCAGCTCCTTGGAAGGGGAACAGACAAACTCTCGCCGTCCCAGTTTACCACCTCTGAAAACCCATTCGAGGGTCAGCAAGGAGTTGGCTCCATGTTGACAACACAAAAGAGGTGATTTGTCTCATTCTCGTTTTTTTTAAAAAAGGCTTTTTCAGATAAGCATTGTATAAATCATGAGCATTCTTGAGAAAGTAAGAAAATTACTTAATAACGTCTATGGAAACTGAGTGGGAAACTCAACTGCTATGTAAATCTCACCTAAAATGTGTTAAAAACTTAACAATTATTAAAAAAATAGCAGCTCGTAAACACTCACAATAAAAAGACGGGCAGGATAAATGAAATGAGGATCAGCCCAAAATATAACCCGAGGCTTTTTAAAATTGTGTCAGCTGCGTTTCAAATATCTAACATGTGACCCTCACTTATAAATATACTTTAATGAGAAAGTTCTCTGACTATATAAATTGAACACTACATTTAAAAATATACAGATCGATGCTGTTGTAGACATACTAATTGTTCTTAATGGTTCAACAACGGTTTGTGTACATTAAGGCAGAATACAAGTTATACCTCTCATCTAAGAAACTGTGACTAACAGAAACTAATTCCAATTCCCTGTTCAGAGCTGGAAGAGAATCCCAAGACTTGTCCACAGTCTTCCGAAACTGTCTTTCGCATTAGGTTCATGGAACTTTTGAAATCCATTCTGGAACTGCATTCTTCCCAGGAACAGAGAAACTAATGCCCTGTGGCTTGGTCAGCACCGTGGAGGGACACATCACTATTTCCTAAAAAGGCATGAAAATCCACCAGGCCATGGATTTGGTGAAACCCACACTCTGAACTCTTAAGAGTAATCATAAAACTCTTATGCGCTCTATCCCAGTGTGCGTATGCATGTATATATCACACAGGGCTGTGGAATAGGGATCAAGTCATATTTGGCACGACACTAGAGCTTTGGGGAACAATTTACAGATCTTAGAGGAGCAGCATTTTCCCCTGGAGACGCTGGTGAATGGACTCTCCCAGAAAAGTACTCTAAGGCTTATGCGTTGGAAGTTTCCTATATTGTCCACCGACATAAAATTCCTTTATAGCCATCTGAAAGACAGAAACTATGTGGCCGTTTAATTAAAACCGTAACATGATCCTGCCTCAGTCTCAACCCCTTAAGTTTTGTCTCGTCTTGCGTAAAACTCACCTGCAATCTCTCCTCTGCTTCTGAGGCGGGTCTTTCTCACCATGTGATGAAAACACATCTTCGAGCATCGAAGACCACAGTTTATTCTTCAGGAATTTCATCTCTAAACGTTTGGAGGATCCCTTTCCTGCATCGTTACGATTGTGACAGACTGCTCCAAATCATCCAAGCAGAATTTACACCATGAAATACACACACACACACACACACACAAAAGCAAAGGCATGATTAGGAAGAAAAATGATGTTGATGGGAGATCAGTGCTGACTGCTGGACCAACTGTGGGACTCCTTCACCTTAAGCAGGAGGGAGTCAGACAGCCGGAGCTCAACTGGGGTGACAGACCCAGGTCAAATGGCGAAAGCGAAGGCTTCCTGGTTTTCCATTCAGGTCAGCACACATGACCTCCCCTCCCCCCAAAGTGAGTCTTTGAGTGCACCCCTCCCCCAGCCCAATGTGCAGCTGCGTGCAAACCCCTCTCAGCCCTTGCATGTGTCTGTGCGTGTGCCCACCCTACGGGCAAACACGTGCACCTGCTCAGCCTTCTTCTGGAACAGCGACGTGACAACAAGAACTGGCGATCGCATCAGGCACCAAAAACTGCACCACAGCAATGCCACTAAAGAAGCAGGCTACTTCACTTCTTACAAAAGCCCACAGCAAACTATCACTCCCCCCCAAAATGACACAGTAACAATGGATTTCCTAAAGGCATAAAGTCTGATGGAACTTTCTGACACAGAATTTAAAAGGAACATGAAGAGAAAAAGAGTAGCAGAGTGCATAAAAACCCAAAATCCATCAATACGCTGTCTGTAATAGACACCACTGAAATATGAAGATAAAAAAAAAGACCAAAAATAAAAGGGTGGGGGGAAAATAAAAAAAGCAAATGACAATAGGAATAAGCAGGAGTAGTGATAGTAATCTTGATAAAAGAAATTTCAATGTGGAAACAATCACAAAGGACAAGGAAGGTCACTACATCATGCTGAAAGGGTCCATAGAACAAGAGGACATAACAGTAATGAGTATCTACTCACCAAATGAAAGACCTGCAAAATATATAAAAAACATTAACAAAACTGAAAAAGAAAACAGACAACACTATAATAGCAACTGGAGACTTCAACGCACCACTCTCAAGAACAGACAGAACTACCAGAAAGAAACTCACCAAAGATGTTGAAGAATTACACCACACAATAAACTAATTAGATCTCATAGATTTTTATAGGCTAATGTACCCAAAAAAGCACAGTGCACTGTCTTCTCCAATGCGCATGGAACGTTCTCCAGAACAGATCACATTTTAGGTCACAAGGCAAGCATCAGTAAATTAAAAAAAACAGAAATAATACATTTTCTCAGACCACAATGCTACAAAATTAGAAATTAATAACAAGAGGATAAAGGGGGGGAAAGCCCATACTTTTGAAAAGTGAACAAGACCTTGCTTGAACATGAATGGGAACTAGAAGAAATAAAAAATAAAATAAAAACGTTTCTTTAAATAAATGACAATGGAAACGTCACTTAACAAAACCTCTGGAAAACAGCCAAAGCTGTAATGAGGACAATTCACAGCAATAAGCAAACACATCCAAAGGCAGGAAATAATGATCATTGACTCTCTAACCCATCATCTCCAACAAACTGAAAAAAAAAACCAAACAAACCTCAACACCCTCTAAAAAAGCTTAAACTATAAAAATCAGAGTATAAAGACATGAAACATGGGGAGCTCTGGTGGCCTAGTGGCAAGAAACTGCACTGCAATCCTAGAGGCGCATGGTTCAAATCCACCAGACGCTCTGCCGGGAAAAGGAGAGACAAATCTCCTCCTGTACCAGTCAGATCCGATTTGACGGCACACACACACACACACACAATAATAAAATAATAATTAAAAAAATTACAAAAAAAAGACATGAAACAGAAAAACAACTGAAACCATCAACAAAATTAGGAGTTTGTTCTCTGAAAAGGTCAAAGAAATCAACAAATCTAAAAAAAAAAATTTAAAGAAAAGTCAAACCTATAACACAACTAACAAAGGAAAAGACACAAATAATCCGAGTAAGAGATGAAACGGGCAACAACACAACAGAACCGACTGAAATTAAAACGCTAACA